TTTAAGCTGAGATTTTGTTGAAACATAAGTAAGAATATGTCGCTGAATATTAATAGTAAACACAAGAAGCATTTCCACTTGAGTCATTTAATAGCGACGCAGTAGAACGCTCCATTGATCAACAACTCTAGACTAGCACCTTACACAATTACGACTCTTAAATAGCAAGAACAGACTCCTCAAAATAAAATCTAAGAGGTATTGGTGCATGCCATATTGTTAACTGAAAACCAAGACGAGGGTAGATTTCAATACACTAAAATATTCATGAGCACATAATACCTTACCCCAGAGGCTTACAGTCTCCTGAATGCTGATAGAGATTATTATCACGGCAATGACCTACACATTTTTCATAATTTTGTCTTACTAATATTTAATAACATCGGTTAGTTTATGAGTATCCTCTTAGGGAGTATACAATATTACAAAGAAGTGAAGTTGTTAGCAATCTATACGACTATAAATGGTTCGGGTGATGTATTGTTCATGTAATTACCAAACTTAAAGATATGTAACTGAAATTATAATTGCAGTAGTCCATCATGATTTACAGACGCCTGAGAAAATTGAAAATGGAATTTATTTTAGTTTGATAAGCTTAATTACACTGTGGTCAAGCGCTGAATGCATAAATGCAGGGGACTTCCATGGCGTACGTAAAATGCCGTGGGCAATGTCAGCGAGGTACTGATCTTGGAATGTAATTTATTTTTCTATTAAATAGCTGATGTATATTGCCACCTGCTGTCCAATATGTATCGCACCAGGGCATAGCACTCGGGCCAATACTGGCAAACCTGACATTTTTAAAAGGTAGTCATTCTAACATGCTCGTTAAACGACAGCCACTAAACCGGTGACTTTTCCGAATGGAGTATTGGTTGTCAAAGTAACCGTTTCCAGTGACATTTTTTTTTAGTAAAGAATACAACCGAGTTTCAAACGTGAACGTACCAGCCACACTTTTCTCAGTTAAACAGCTAAAAAAGTTAATTGTTACTCGACATTTCTGGATGTGCAGAAAACCAATTACCGTTTTAACCCTTTTTAATTTGGTTACCGTAACGCAAAAACACAATTTAACAGTACGATATCAGATCTATTTTAATTTAACAGTACGATATCAGATCTATTTCGAACTCCAGCACTGTATCTAATAACATGAATAATTGTGAACATGAACCTGATTGGTGGTGATATAACTTTTTTTATATATATAAACCTTTATAAGATGTATTGCCCTGTATATGTTACTCTGTCTCTGTCTAGTGCCTTATAATTATTTTAAGTAATCTCATTTAATTGCAAATTTATATTTCCATTTCTCTTCCTGTTTCTTGCCTCAAACGGCTTGGGAATTCCCTTCACATTGTCTATTTTCCAACAAAGCTCTAATAATCAATGATGTTTTGTCACGGCTAGATCGCGTAAATATTAATGAGTCGTTAAACCCGCCGCCACCCAGCACAGCCAATCAATAAGTTTTTTGACATAAACAAAACATGCCAATTCGTTACCAGTTCAGCACACGGAGCGTAAACACACAACATTTACAATTCGACAGCCACCTTTGGCTGCCGCCTGATGAGGCTCGTTGTAATTCCTGGCGAAACGTCGTACTCGAATTGTAAATGTTGTGGGTTTTGTTTACGTGACAAACCTTACCAGTTAACCGTGTCGGGTGGTGCCGCGTTTAACCACACATTTATATTTACACGATCTAACCCCCCAAACAAAAACTCTTATGGGTAATATTGGTCGCGAAATCCGATATGTTAAAGCTCTTATAACCTTGCTTTATTCAAGAAACATGTTAACTCTTATCTATTATAACTTTTACGGTGCTGATTTAAAGCTTTCGTGACTGCAGGGATTCATATTCTTGGTTCTTTCTTCTACGTGACTTTACCGAAAGAACCAATAATTTTTTATGGTGCTGTTCGTTACTGGCCTTTTGACGTTTTGGTCACGTGGACCTGTGCTCAACGACTGTAATTGGAACCGATTTTTCTACGGTGAATCACCAGGATAAATGCAATACGATTTTGAAGCGACACGTTTAATAAGCGCCACACATGTGCACGAACGGGTCACGACGATTTTAATGCATTTCGTTCTTTCTGTTCACCAGTTTCTCTTATACATTACTGGAGTGGGAAATTACTCATTTTGAGCCCGTGGATATATATTTTATCTGTATCCATTTCTCTGCAACCTACAGGCTCGACACCACCCACGATGTGTGGCTGTGAAGTTAAAGGCAAGACTGACCTTATCAACTGCACATTTGTTAAAATTGTCAATCATTGTAGCTTTCCCGGAACAATTGTTAGGCCCTCCTGTCCTGTACCCCCCTCGAACTGAGACCTGCAAGAAAGGGTGAGGGCGGGGGGGTTACTGGGGGGGGGGGGGGGGTAATGGGAGGGGGTAATGACTGATTCAGATATCACATCCCGGAGGGAAATCAAATTTAGGTTGGTCGCCCCAAATTGACCATGTTTACAATTCTTAAGATGTACAGTGAGGGAAAAAAGTATTTGATCCCGTGCTGATTTTGTACGTTTGCCCACTGCTCAAAGAAATGATCAGTCTATAATTTTAATGGTAGGTTTATTTGAACAGTGAGAGACAGAATAACAACAACAAAATCCAGAAAAACGCATGTCATAAATGTTATAATTTTATTTGCATTTTAATGAGGGAAATAAGTATTTGACCCCCTCTCAATCAGAAAGATTTGTAGCTCCCAGGTGTCTTTTATACATGTAACGAGCTGAGATTAGGAGCACACTCTTAAATGGAGTGCTCCTAATCTCAGCTTGTTACCTGTATAAAAGACACCTGTCCACAGAAGCAATCAATCAATCAGATTCCAAACTCTCCACCATGGCCAAGACCGAAGAGCTCTCCAAGGATGTCAGGGACAAGATTGTAGACCTACACAAGGCTAGAATAGGCTACAACAAGACCATTGCCAAGCAGCTTGGTGAGAAGGTGACAACAGTTGGTGCGATTATTCGCAAATGGAAGAAACACAAAAGAACTGTCAATCTCCCTCGGCCTGGGGCTCCATGCAAGATCTCACCTCGTGGAGTTGCAATGATCATGAGAACGGTGAGGAATCAGCCCAGAACTACACGGGAGGATCTTGTCAATGATCTCAAGGCAGCTGAGCCCATAGTCACCAAGAAAACAATTGGCAACACACTCCGCCGTGAAGGACTGAAATCCTGCAGCGCCCGCAAGGTCCCCCTGCTCAAGAAAGCACATATACATGCCCGTCTGAAGTTTGCCAATGAACATCTGAATGATTCAGAGAACAACTGGGTGAAAATGTTGTGGTCAGATGAGACCAAAATGGAGCTCTTTGGCATCAACTCAACTCGCCGTGTTTGGAGAAGGAGGAATGCTACCTATGACCCCAAGAACACCATCCCCACCGTCAAACATGGAGGTGGAAACATGATGCTTTGGGGGTGCTTTTCTGCTAAGGGGACAGGACAACTTCACCGCATCGAAGGGACGATGGACGGGGCCATGTACCGTCAAATCTTGGGTGAGAACCTCCTTCCCTCAGCCAGGGCATTGAAAATGGGTCGTGGATGGGTATTCCAGCATGACAATGACCCAAAATACACGCCCAAGGCAACAAAGGAGTGGCTCAAGAAGAAGCACATTAAGGTCCTGGAGTGGCCTAGCAAGTCTCCAGACCTTAATCCCATAGAAAATCTGTGGAGGGAGCTGAAGGTTCGAGTTGCCAAACGTCAGCCTTGAGACCTTAATGACCTGGAGAAGATCTGCAAAGTGGAGTGGGACAAAATCCCTCCTGAGATGTGTGCAAACCTGGTGGCCAACTACAAGAAACGTCTGACCTCTGTGATTGCCAACAAGGGTTTTGCCACCACGTACTAAGGCATGTTTTGCAGTGGGGTAAAATACTTATTTCCTTAATTAAAATGCAAATCAATTCATAACATTTTTGACATGCTTTTTTCTGGATTTTGTTGTTGTTATTCTGTTTCTCACTGTTCAAATAAACCTACCATTAAAATTATAGACTAAGCATTTCTTTGTCAGTGGGCAAACGTACAAAATCAGCAGGGGATCAAATACTTTTTTCCCTCACTGTAGCCAAACAAAATCATCTCATCAGAGGTCCTAAGGGTGGGTCGGGGAAGAAATATTTGTACAGGTTTGTTCACTACATGCATTTATAACTGATCTATTCTCACGCATGAGTATGAATGTTTCATAAGCATCATATTTTATTTTAATCAGTTAATCTATACATTGTGTGGTAACTTTAATATTTCATTCATTTACAATTTACACTGTATCTAGAGAATGGTGGTATCCTGTACACAGTTCTGTATGCGGTGTATACTAAGCCTTATTTCAAAAGTAGAATTCCTATTATCCCACAGATGTCATGCATAGCCTGTATCAGACGTGGCTTTGATTCAGCCATATTAATGGTACCACCTAGTGGACATGTTGTGTCATTATATAGCACTGAACGGTGGTGACCATGAATCATTATTCTAAAAAAGAAAAAATGGTTTATATGTAAAAAAAAAGTATTGAGACGTTTTAATTTAAAGCTTTCGTGACTGCAGGGATTCATATTCTTGTTCTTTCGGTAAAGTCACGTAGAAGGGAAACAATAAATTAATAAAAATATAAAACAATATTATCACAACGTTTCGACTGCAACACAAGCAATCATCATCAGGTGTGAAAACCAAAGCAAGAAAAAAAACGCCACTTTTTCAAATGTTCTTGCTTTGGTTTTCACACCTGATGATGATTGCTTGTGTTGCAGTCGAAACGTTGTGATGATTTTATTGTTTTATATTTTGATAATTTTATTGTTTCCCTTCTACGTGACTTTACCGAAAGAACCAAGAATGTGAATCCCTGCAGTCACGAAAGCTTTAAATCAAAACGTCTCAATACTTTTTTTTACATATAAACCATTTTTTCCTTTTTTAGAATAATGATTCATGGTCACCACCGTTCAGTCTTATATAATGACGCAACATGTCCACTAGGTGGTACCATTAATATGGCATGGATAATTAAGAGTTTATGACATGAATGGAAATTGCCTTTTGTGTGAAAGCAGTGGTGTATTGTATGTAATAGTCGACAATAATATCCTTATAATAATAACCTTAGAACTTTCCTAAAATGTTCAGGTGGATAGCCAGATGTAATACTGTACGGTATTTCACGAAGCCAATGCTGTTCTTCAAGAAACATTCATTACCCTACATTAAATGTCCTTTATATTTCTAGATTTTACAAATGTAATTGCGAACATTAAATATTTACAGCAGTGTAAATTTCACAACCTAACAACTACTCTCGTTGCTTCCAGATTTTTTTCCAGAAGCAATGCATTACTCCAACTGGAGAAGGCACCACATTCAGTCCCTTCTATTCCATTTCAAGGTTATGGTTACTTGAAATCAATAAATGAACTGATTGAGTAGTTTATTGAAATACCAGGGAGCTTCATTAGAGCTTTGTTCCACAAGACCAGCTTCATTGAAAGCTGGGGTGCTCGCGGATTGTCCAGCCACCACGTTCGTGAGAAAGCTCACGGCTGGCATATTTACTGGCCCGTTAGTATTTGTTTGAAATGGGACGATAGGGCATGCGTTTCTGGCATGTATAGTTCATCTTGGATGTTTCCAACCCAGGCTCTGTTATATAGAATACATGGCCTGCATGCTTACATATGCTGAAAAGCATGCACAACAATCGCAATCTACAGACTATAGCACACTCTTTGGGAAGACCTGATAGTGTATTATGCTGTATACAAGAAAATCTGTGGCAAATGTGCATGGTGAGAGCATATTTTCATACACATTAAAAAAACATCATTTTAAGCAATCTTATTTGGCAGGTCTTTTATATTTTCTATCTGACCAATTTTCAAAATACGTTGTATCTGCCGTATCCGAATGCAAATGAAAGTGCATTTTTTTTTTAGAAACCGGTTCTCAATTGGGAAAGTAAGAGCCAAATAAAACAAGGCGGCTTTTTGTTCAATAGCTGTGTTAAAATTAGGGGAAAAGAGCTTGTGTGATGAGCGGCAAAAAAGCGCTCCTTATACATACATTCACTGGTTAAGAGTGTTTGGATTAACCACTTTAATTTGACAAAGCACTTTACATTAATTTATGCAATGCTCATTACATCTATCCACCCGCAATATATTTTTACCCATAAATTAGCAAATACCGTATATGACGCATTGTTCTTGCAGTCAGGACGGCCGTGGAACAAATTCCTCTTTGCTTAAATGTTTACATTGGTTTTGAAACCTTACGTGCAATGCCTTGCTTTTCCAATGAGTGTCATTGGTCGTCCAGTGTTGCCAAACAAATGGAACGTCAAATCCTCATCCCCCCAGCTTTAGGATTAAAATGTGAAGCTTCTCCAGCCACACATTACCAGAGCTGGAATTGTTACTGACCTGGAAACCTTGTGACCAATTCTCATTGCCGAGATCAATTCCAATCAGTAAAGATGTTGATCTTTTTCAATCAGTTGTACGGAGTGAAGGCTTCATAATAGATGTCGACTGCTTGGACAAATGCTATCACATCTTCTAATGACTCATCGTAAAGCTAAGTGTTAAGCGGACGCCTGCTGCAGTGCCGTTACAATTTTTTGAACACGGTTGTATGTTCCGATTGACTATGCTTAAAGTATTTGTCATGAATTGCTGGGCTGTGTCAGCATATTATTTAGGTTCTTCAGCTATATTTTTACATACAGCATATTTGTGGCTATTATGTAGAGTGTATATGGAGATCAATCTTAATTCTTAAAAAATATATACACTCGAAATGTTTGTGCGGATGGGGAATTCCCTTTCGTAAATGTGCTGTCTCATGTGTGACTGTGTCAAGCAGTTTGTGATAAGTCTGAGTTCATGTAACCAAGTTGTTTTATTTTGCCATAGTTGAAATTTTAACGATAGTTTTCAGTTGCTACCTCCCAATTTTCTGGGGCTCAAAATAAAAAATGTGGGATAGAATATTTTTCTAGTTAAAACCATAGACTCAACTCTATTTTTACCAAAATTACAGCTCTTCATGTCTTCTAGGACATCTTCAGACTTTCCATCAGCCAGTCACTCAGTTATTCCCTAATAATCACCCATAATCTATCCACTGCTGGATAAAGGCTTTCCAAAGTGGTCGCTATTCCTCATGGTCTCATGATGAAATGATCCATCTACTCCTGCACGTGACCTGCCTTGTCGCTCCATTCTATCAATCTCAACCATCAGTCTTCATCCCTTCCAGAGACATATTCTGCCCAAGCCAAATTGTCTACTAGGTAATTTGATGTGTGAAATTTGTGAAAGTTATACATATATATGTTAAATTTCAACAGTCTTTGTTAATGCGGATGTTTTATTGTATCATTGCATCTGCAATTGTTTAAGTTGACCAATGATTACGTGTTCAAATCCACATTTCATCGAGACCTTGCCGGGTCTATCCTATAAACATTAATGGACACTAAATTTATGGAATGTAAAACAAAAAACAATAAAAAGGCATTGACTGTGACTGCTGCAAATGTAATAGAACATCCATCATCAGGTGATGCCTATTGATCATTCGTCTGTGAAATAAGTTGAACACTAATCACCTTTTGGGTCACAATTAATTACGTTTTAACTATGAGTTTCAAATTTATCAAGGACAGTTACTGGAATTTGTTTCAGGGCAGGTGGGTAATAATTGTGTAATTCTCCGCAGTTTTGTGCTACGGTATATGCACATCATCTGTGGAGTGATAAGTGTATCCTGAGAATCTGTGAAGAGACGGAAGAGGGCAGCATTCACTGATGGGACTGCTTGCAACATAAATAATTAACCAAATAGTGACTCGTCTGTCATGCGCTTTTATTTATGTATTTTCTCCAAAATGCATTCGTGTTTGCATACTCCAGCGAAGGTTTATGTTTATAGTCTATTCATATAGCCCAGAACTAAGTAGATTGCATGGACATGCCTAAAGGCACCTTTTAGATCTATTGATGTTTGCAATGGCCAAATTTGTTGCAATTTTTGTATTATAAATTTCCTTAACTTGACTACTTGTAAATGCATCTATGGCATACATTTATACATTGTTATATACGTACATACACTGTTTCGTGATGCATATGTTCATAATTGGGATCGTCATCTTGGTAAACTAAAGAAAACCTAGAATGTAGACAATTTGACAATGCTGTTAGACGTGCGTTACAAAAAAAACCCGTTGTGTGGTATCCCTTTAGTATTTGGATAATTTCCAAAAGAGTTCAGTGTGGTTGTAAGGCGGGGTGTGTCTCTCTGACATTTGGTGTGCTGTAAAACATCAGTTAAACCTTGTGAGGGCAGTGTGCATCCCACTGTCGATAGCAATACAATTCCAGGCTCTGTTGTTGCTTGTATAAAAAAAAACACTCGCAGCGTGAAGTCACCGTTATCAGAACATCGACTCGGTGAGCTTCTGTGTTGGAGGCTGTCTGCTCACTGGGTGGTTCATCAGCTGACACGTCACATCTCTGGATATGCGCTGGCGTGAAATCTGACAAGGAATATCATTCGCGCCTGTGGAAAAGGTCATTGGAGCGTATTTTGCCGGTAACACGGTGGTCAAGAGTGCTGCTGTGTTTGGAATTTGAAAGGAAATCGGAAAAAACGTGGAAACTGCTGTGTTAGCGAAATGGAATACTCAATGTAAGAGCTGAATGAATTGAAGATCAAGTTCCCGTCAGTGAGTTCATGATTCTGCCGATGGGAAGTACAGTATTTTTTCACATTTGTTATTGCATTATGCTTGTCTTGAATATATAAACGAAAGCATTCTAATTTAATACGTGTTTATAATAGGATAAATATTACATTTTCATATACTTTTACTTTAATAATGTATATAAAACACATTTATTGAATGTTAAATATTCAACCATCCTTGCTTATAATCAATACACTTAGGGCAAATAATAATAATAGTATGTGCACATCCAGAAACTAAATCCGCATTGTTAAAACAGCCAGCTTGCTTTCATACATTCTTGGAGAGTTGTATTGTTTTGTAACATCTTGAGAGTTATTTTTGCTGGTATTCTATTTTAATGTTCGGCCAACCTTGCCATGATTGAACTGGAAGAAACAGAGCGTGACCAAGAGCCAGAAACTATTACGAGGGAACAGAATGCATTACCCTGCCGACCGAGGTTGCAAACCCATCATCACTTTGCCTACAACACCAAGTTACACGGTGTGAAGTACATCTTCCTTAGCCGTCATTGGTTTTTGTGGCTCCTGGCTGTCTTGACATCAGTGAGCCTCCTACTCACTTGGTCCAATAACCGAGTGCACTACCTATTGTCCCATCCAGTACACACTAATATGCAAATGATCTTTGTTCACAACCTCACCTTTCCGACCGTTACCTTCTGCAACAATAACTTGCTACGTTTCTACAAGATGACACGGCAGGACCTGCACTTGGCAGGCAACTGGCTGGGTCTGTTGACCGATAATGGCACAGCCAGGCCGGAGGTGCTGGATTTTCTGGAGGACACTGGTAGAAAAACCTGGTTCAAGAAGTTTGCAAACTTTTCCATGTTCCTGCCGGCACCCGTCTCCAATTGGGAAATGCTCCATTTGATTAACCGGTCAGGCCACCAACTGGATGAAATGCTCCTAGACTGCAAGTTCCGTGGGAGACATTGTACCCTGAACAACTTCTCCACAGTGAGTTGACATTTCATTTCCATGACCACTGTGCCATGTTTTGTTTTTGCTATAAATCTGTATAAATGAGCCATTAAAAATTCACCAATAAGTTATGAAACGTACAGTTTTAGCAACACGGATATTAAACCTCTGTTAGATGTCCCTCGTTAAAGCTGAGGAAATTTTAAGGGAAATCATAATAATTGTAGGAGATGCTTCTCATGGGATGAAACGTGACAGTTTTGTTTTTGTGCCATCGTTGGTCTTTGTTCTGGTGAAAATACAGTACTTTATAACACTGTAATGCTGATTGGTATTTATATTCGTGTAAAATATTAATTTTGGCATGTAGTCATGATCTAGTTTTAATAAAAGATTACAGATGCTTAATCATTAGCGATACATGGAATTTATTTTATATTATGTATATTGTGTACTTCATATGTATGGATACTGATGCCAATATATTTTCTTAATTATTCAAGCATTTTCTTCCTTACATAGTTTGTTTCTTAATAAAACAATACAATGTGGATCTTGACTTAAAGCTTTCGTGACTGCAGGAATTCATACTCTTTGGCTTTCAGTCAAGTCACGTAAATAAAAAATAATAGATCACGACATTTCGATCGCAACACAAGCAATCGTCTTCAGGTGAGAAAGAGAGAAAGCTGCTGAGACAAGGTCTTATATAGGCCTGAGATGGATGCATCCAGGTAGGTGGGTGTAGCTAGAGATGGTCCAACCAACGGAGGCTGGGGCAGCGGCCTCTGTATTGTGAGAGATTAGCCTGTCCTGAGAAGGGTGCATCAAGGTAGGAGGGTGGAGCTAGAGATGGTCCAACCACAGAGGCTGAGGCAGTGGACACCCAGCCTGTCAATACAAAGACATCCAACCTAGTAATGAAACTCACAGAGTCAGTTAACATCGGTAGAAAGGATGGAAACATCATAGCAAGTTAAGACTTTACCTGGTTAATCACATTCTTCCAATGATTGCTCAATTCGTACCCATCTTATCGGTTTAAGTTGTATCTGTTTATATATCTGGATGGCTTCATGAACAAATATTTGATGATAGCCAGTGGGTTTGCAGAGTACCTTCGTCTTGGAAAAAATCAATATCGTGTGAGTCTACAGCGTTAAAACAATGATCAGCCACGGCCGAGGTATTGGTCCTGCCGTATTTCAGATCCACCTTGTGTTCACGAACACGGTCCGAGACATGTCGTTTAGTTTCCCCAATGTAACTACTGCCACAGACACAACTTAGTTTGTAGAAACCGGGGTATTGCATGTCAGGGATCACATCCTTCACAGATGGGATCAGATCATGAATTGTATGTACTGCGTTGAATCGAACCTGGATCTTGTGTTTGTTCATGATTTTTGAAATATTTTTGGTGACCCCTGCTATGTATGGCAAGGTGATGGTTTTGATTGGGTCCTCAGATGTTTTTTTTCCCCACGGTTGGGGTGACAGCTTTGCGGATTGTACCGTCCAAATATCCATTCATCCTGAGGGCTTGGTGTACGTGCTCCAGTTCATTGGCTAGGTGGTGCTGGTCGGAGATGCAACGGGCCCTATGGTGTAGGGTTTTGATGAGGGAATTCTTCTTGGCTGGATGGTGGTGGGAGTGAGGTTTTAGATAGGCATCCTTGTGGGTGGCTTTCCTGTAGACAGAGTGTCCCAATGAGCCATCTGGTCTCTTTTCGATTAAACATCCAAGAATGGTAACTTGAAATCCTTTACCACTTCCATGGTGAATTTAATGGCTGGGTGTATGGAATTTATGTGGTTGAAGAATTGGTTCAGTGTTAGCAGGCCATGTGACCAGATGACGAACGTATCATATATATCTCTTCCACAAGGACGTAGGGTGGATGCCTGGATGGCATCGTCTCAATTTTTTGCATGAAAACATTGGCTACCACTGGCGATAAGGGAGAACCCATTGGGGTACCTTCATCTTGTTTGTAGAATGTACCATTCCAGGTGAAGTAAGTGTTGGTAAGACAGTGTCTCACCAGGGTTGGTACATCAGCATTCAGTACTTGTTGGACCAAATCTTCAATGATTGCAATGGTGTCAGGCACATGAACTTTGGTGAAAAGAGAGACCACATCGAAACAAGCAAATTACCTGGAGATAGTGAGATGTCTTTAATTAGAGAAACCAAATGAGCTGAATTAAGTAAGCTGAGGTGGCCTTGCCAGTGAATGGAAGCAAGGTCTCAAACAGAAATCGGGCCAGTTTGTACGTGGGTGAGTCAATAATACAATGTGGGTTTATCTTACCTATATAAATGTAAATGCACGTGTTGTATTATAATTACGAGCTGTATTTTCCATTAACGAATTCGTAACAGAATTTAGAATATGCGAATATGATTAAAACAAGTTTGCCGATTTAAAAAGTGATATCACGAATATAAAAAAAAGATTCAATGATGAGAATAATCGTAGTGCAACATGAAGTTAATATCACTGCCAGTTCAAATCACTATATGTCACGATATATCACATGCCACGATGTAAGCAGGTACACGTGTATTTAAATAATGTAATCATGGAATTAAAAAAAAGTGTTACACTGCAATCATAAAACATGCGCATTTTGCTTTATATGCTGTCAACATCGGACACTCAGGAGCGGGATCCATACGATGCTTCGGCAAAGGCCAATGTGTTAGAATGCATGCAGTGTACATTGTGCATAGCAACCACATCACCTAGCTCATGCAGACCTCATTTGTATCATGTTGAGTGGCTTGTTTCGAATCATAACCAGACGTTTATTGGGGGGTGGGGGAAGAAGTTGCTTGTTATGATACATAATCTAACCATCAATTTCTTTGGTTCTTTCGGTAAAGTCACGTAGAATGAGAATAAAATAATAAATTGATAAAATAAAATAACACGATATTCTCACGACGTTTCGGCCACAACTTTACCGAAAGAACCAAAGAAGATGAATCCTTGCAGTCACGAAAGCTTTAAATCGAAATTTAACCATCATTATTTAGAAGAGTTAGCTTGAATTTAATGTTAAAAGCTTAAAATGTAACTGCTGTGTACCATCATTTGTTTATGCTACACAAAACCTTTCATATGAAATTGTTAATCAAATATTAATAGTATTCATATTAAAACACTTATTTTAAGTTTTTACTCATTTTAGGTATGTATAATCATTCCTATTAAACACTATCCTATTAGTAGCCACTCTTGCGGGATGCACGTGAAATTGATATTATTTGCGGCCTAATATTATTTTTTTTATTCATTTTAGGTATGTATAATCATTCCTATTAAACACTATCCTATTAGTAGCCACTCTTGCGGGATGCACGTGAAATTTATATTATCTGCGGCCTAATACTTTTTTTATTTCTATTATCTGCATTTTCCCTTATTGCTTTGTAGAATGTCTTCCTATTATCCGATTTTATTTTCATGGATAGGAGTCCCCCACAGCACAGTGAATGATCATATTATCCGTGATTATCCGCAATGTTTCCCCCTGCAGATAATTGAAGCAAATCTGTGGATAACTGCCAGACATCATAGGATCTGCCACATTGGTCACCCACATCACTCTTTGGCTTAGAGAGGCTCTACTGTGCGTTAAAAGCTATTAATAAAACTATTATAATTTTACATAAATTATGAAAGTCACTATGTTTTACGTGATCTAAATAAAGGGGATTCTGGATAACATTTTTGTCCGGACACAATTGACAATGACACACCGATGAGCAAGGTTGTAGCCACACACAGAATACAATTTGGACTTAGCGAGGATATTAATGTGGTTGTATCTGAAGACATGCTATTCAAATAGGGCAGACGGAGATTATAGTGTGGTAAGGTGCTGTTGAAATCAATTCAAAGTGAAGCGGCAGTCCGTAATAGGCAGAGGATATGAGAATAATTTTGAGTCTGTACTCGAACAAGGTAAGGGAAGATATCGCATTTCAATTGCTACCCAGATAGATGAAAAAGAAAGACTACTTTATGAAATAAAAAATACGATCGTGGAATTTTGATTGAGGGTGGTGTTCACTAAACACGTTACCTTCATGGAATGATATGGTCCACATTGAATGCAATTGTGGATAGAATTTAAATGTGCGAGTGCCCAGTTTGGATTATAAATTAATAGAGTTCTCGACATTTATAGCTACAGAAATTAACACGAGTTACACATGAGGTAAATTATGCGATTTATAATGGCGTGTACTTTAAAGTATTCTGTTTTGTGTTATAATTATTTAACATTTTCCATCATGGATAATTGTTTAATTGTGAAAAAAGTATATTGCTAAATATATGCTTTATTTTATGGCTCAAATCTATTATGATTGTAATACGCTGTTGATGATCTACGTGAGGGAAAAAAGTATTTGATCCCCTGCTGATTTTGTACGTTTGCCTACTGACGAAGAAATGATCAGCCTATAATTTTAATGGTATGTTTATTTGAACAGTGAGAGACTGAATAACAACAACAAAATCCAGAAAAACGCATGGTTATATGCTAATATTGCTCATACATTCCCCTGAGCAATACTGTTGCAAGTTAGAGTGACAATTGTGACCATGTACTTACAACAATCAGATTTTCAGCTACAAGGATGCAATGTGCAGCAATATTTTAAGTAATGTGCAAAAAATGTGCAACAATATTCAATGAAATTTAATTATTCAATGATTGACATTTCAGAACTCTTGTGAAATATACCTGTTCCTGATGTCGACGGCTTGTGTTGCGATTGAAATGTCGTGATATGACTTCACCGAAAGAACCATAGAATATAAATATCTGGATATTTCAGTACAATATGATTAATGCATGCTGAGGGGTCTGTTGCTCAAATGGGCACATGTAAGTGGTTTTTGTAAGACAGCCAATAGGCCAATTTTTCTATGCTCATTATATATTAAGCCCGTCTGCCAGTCTGTCCATGCAAGAACACTAAATCAATGAAACCACACAGTGATAATATTTTTTAATAC